ATACAGTTGAGTAATAGTATCATTTTGAGCTTCATTACTGTGTCTATTGTTTTCATTATTATTTCTATCTCGCATATCTATTAAAGTAGATATTTGGTGTGTTATACGAGTAGATGTTCTTTGACCAGACATGTTACTTAGATCTGAGAGAATATTTATAAAAAATTCGTCATATGGGTTTGAATTTGTGTTTGTATTGATGTTATTCAATATAGATACTATATTAGTTGGATTGTGAGTAGTTGTTACAATTGTATTAGTTATAGTTTCAGTTGATAGGTTGTGTATAGTATTGCTAGTTAAATGAGTAGATTTAGCAACTAAAGCTGTCTTAGAAAAATTAGAGCTACTACAAGTAGATTTTACAATTATAGCCGCAGTGGAAAAAGTTTCAGAGTTACTATTGTTTTCTGATTGTATAGGAGTAGTAATAAAGCCAGATGTTGCTGTCTACTTAGCTATTAATTCAGGAACAATTTCACTAAATTCTTTTGGTGGTTGATTTTTCTAATAGCAACAAGTAGTTAATAAACTATGGAAATTTTTACTTTTATTCTCAGAGAAGGGTTGTCAGTAGATTGCCCAAAATAGATCAATAGTATATCTAGAAAAACTTTGAGCTTGATATTTAAATTGAAACCAAGGCCAAAACCTTGAAAATTGTGCTGCTAGAGCAAAATTTAAATTTGCTGGATTACAGTCAGGACAATTAGAATCCGGTTTTGCTTTATATTTACTGCGAAGTACTCATTAGTTGGTTGAATGAACAAAATTATGTTGTCAAATTTGTTCCTTATATTGAGCAATATTCATAAAGAACTATCAAAATAGAAAGGCAATTCAAGTTGTTAAAGGGTTATAATAAGTAAAAATAAAAAAAAATAAATAAAATAATAAAAATAATGATAATGATAATAATAATAATAATAATAATAATAATAATAATAATAATAATAATAAAGTAAGATAAATATAGGCTAAAAATATAAATATAAAAGAAAATAAAAGTAGAGGTAAATAAAAATAAAAATAAAAATAAAAGAAAAGAAACGAAATAAATAGAAGCTAGGAAATCACAATGACACAAAGAAGAGCAGGTCTTATCATCGTCACCAAAACTGTAACATAGAAAACCTAGGTCGGTTAACTATATTACTTGACTTAACGTGTAGAGGGTAAGGAATGTGTAGGAGGACAGAATAAACTGATACAAGAACTAAAACAAAATATGGGATAAAACACAAGAAATCTAAAAGAGAATA